AAGAAGTGTGACATTTATAAATGTTAAATTTATTATATTTAATAATAGGTTGTTTAGAAAATGTGCTTATATAGGAGGTGACTATAGAGAGGTTTGACTGTATTATTCAGAAATAAATTCTATTAGATGAAACTTTATAAAATGCATAAAATCATTTGCTTACAAGTTTTCTTTCGGCATTACTTGCATATAAAATAGTCCAATAGCAAAGCCACGAGTAAATAAACTAGTTCTTACTTATTTTATTTTATTTCAATTTATTTATTTTATTTATTTTTTTGATAAGATGTTGAACTACCCAATACAGTAGATTCTGAATATACTTAAGTTGAAATAATTTTAAATCGAAGTAGTAGAAAATCTTGGATCAACCTAAAGTTGAATTCGAATCTACTTTGAAGATAATTTTTAAATTATAACCACTAAGACTATAATGAGAGTTGAATGTTTGAATCGGACAATACATATTAACAGCTTCTAAAAAAAATCTCATCAAAAAATACAATTACAAATTTCAATTAATAATTTTACAGCCATTGCATCTTGTATCGGAGAAGCCATAGAATTTCACAAAGGAAAGATGCATCTAAACACAATTTTATAAAACATTTCAAAGTCAATATCTTAAATTTCATCGGATTCTTACGAGCTAGTGTTTAATATTGCGGAGCATGGTAACAAAACGGTTGTTTGGAATTATATCTGTATAAATTTGATCAATTCTACTCTAGATATTAGAGTGCTGGAAAGTAAAGTTTGATGAGTTAAAAAAGAAAAAAACGATAGATGACCTTGAATTGTTGTTTTTATAAATATTTAATGAGTTGGAGTTCAGGTATAGAGGTTTTTTTTTGAGGGAAGATGGTCTATTCTTGGATTAGGAATACCATTAAGATCTCCTATATGATTATGATTTTGTAGTTCAAGTTTTGTGTAAATAGGATGATTTGTTTTTGGATTTCTTTGCAAAGTTGTTTTTTCTCATAAATAGGGATATAGATTTGTAGTAGTCAAATTGGTTGGTTTTTAAAGTGTAGGTCTAGTTCAATAATATGGTTTTTATAGTTGTAAATATATGCTATTGTAGTATAGATAACTGGCCTTGTTAATTATACCACATGAAGAGAGTAAGGATATGTGTATATAAAAAGATAAAACTCAAAGAAACTCAAAGAAAACTCAAATATAACTCAAGAGAAATAAATTCAAGGAAAATAAATTCAAAATAACTCAAGATATAGAATATAGAAAATAAGAAATAATACCCAGAAAAAATTTTAAAAATTGGAATTTCACGATGATCCGGATTTCACGATCATCCGCGACATTTATTACCACGACACAAGCCGAACACCAAGAAAACTAATAATATCTTCAAATAAACCAAAAAAATGAATGAGGAGATTCCTGGAGATCTAATCACTCTTCACATGTTACCGGATACCAGGAAATTCCTATTTCAAAACGTAACATGGAGATGAATCTTATAAAGTTATCATAATAATAAGGCCAAACTTTCAACTTACGTAATGTAAAACTTTAAAAGTGAAAAATACACAAACCAATTATTGTGAAACCTCTTTTATTTCGCAGAACTCAAGACCAACTTTAGTCGGATTACAAATTATTATTTGATTTCTCGTAGAGACTATGGAAATCATCGTTTATACCTTTGTCGAAAACAGAAATGAGTAACGGAAAAGGAAATCCTGTAAATTGATTCATCACTTTTCATCTTATTGGGTTTCTGAAGAATAATCTACATGTTTTGCTTATTTTTTTAAAAAAGATTTGAGCATTTCTCCTCGCTTATAGTAAAGATAGAATCTCCCGATCTGAATATATGAGCGAGCTTCTGAACCTACAATAAAAATAAAAAAAAAACAAGTTGATGAATTAATGGATTATGAATTGTCGGGTCTTCTAATCTGGTATTCCAAATTTCAGATATGCGAAACCGGAGTGGATAAGACCCTGCAACTTGAAAAATAGTATTTGTGCAGTTTTTGTTTTTCGATCAGTTCAAATCGCATGTATTACGTATGTCATATACAACACACGCGAGGAACTCCGATCGGTGATACATGGATTAGGTTTTTGCCTTTCGAAGAATTTAAACATACCTATTCAATTCTTGTTCAAATTTAAAACTAAGTTCTTATGCTGTGACCCAAGGTTATGAAGTCATTCCTGTCTCTGTCTGATGTAACGTAACACGATATTGTTCCATTTATAAATGTCACATTTTCGCGATTTATTATTCAGTTCACATAATGACCGACAAGTGGACTACTGTAACTAATTCTAAAAATGCTTCTCGTAACTATTCATCGTTCGGGTTTCGTGGAAAAACTCTCCTTAGACACAAAAATAACTCTACTAGGATTTCTCCTTCCTCTTCCGGAACTATATCACCCGATATGTCTCGGGAGATGCCTACGTTACCACCATATCATATTGAATTATCTATTAAATGTCCTTTTGTTAATTGTCAACCAAAAGTGACTATAATCGATAGCACAGCTTTAATGGATCATTTAAAAGATGCTCATAAATTACGATTTTCTAACTTGCACCATGTTTATTTAATCCTTGAAGAATATCTGGAATTTTGGGCAAAAGAAATTACCAAGGACGGTGTCTTAGAACAATTAAGCATTGAAGTAGATGGCGGTGATTATATTTTATCTTTTTTTTTTCTTATTTGTCATTCAAAAATATTTATTTCTTATTATTTTAGAAATTACTGTATACGTGATTGATCCAGAAAAACTTCCAAAAGACAGAAACATTCGAGATAGCCTTCAACGCGATAAATTGGTATAGCCTATAGATATTTGTTTCCTACTACCTTATTATTATTTTTCAATAACTTTCAAAAAATACTTCAGAATGAAGTTTTGCAAATTCAAGCTAATGAACGTAACTATGACTCGAAATTAGAACGTAAATGTTTGTTTTGCAAGAATATTTGTGAAAATAGGTGCGTTAATTTCACACTTTCTATACATTGTATAATCTTCTAAATTTATTTATTTGTATGTATATAGAGCTATTTTATTTCGTCATATGTTTTCGGAACATAATTTTAATATTGGTCTTCCTGATAATCTCGTGAATGTTGATGAATTCCTTCAAATTCTTGAAAAAAAACTGACGAGGTGCGACATACCCAACCTATTGACTGTTTATAATCAAATGTTTTCAGTTTATTAATATCTCAATTTTTTTTGTTTCTTCATTATTATAAGCCTTCAATGTTTATACTGTGAGAAAATTTTCACTTCGTCGGCCGTATTACGCAAGCACATGCGTAAGAAAAAGCATTTCAAGATTAATGCCAAAAATAGAATATATGATAGATTTTATGTGATTAATTACTTGGTATTTAATGAATTATGTATAATTATTATGTATATGAAATATTAGATAATGATTTAACGTATTTATGTATTTTCAAGGAACCTGGAAAGAATTGGGAAACATTTGAAAAAGAGCGTTGTGATTCTGACGAAGAACATCATCGAGATGAGTACGTCTATTTCCTTTATTTTGGAGCTATATTTATGATTCGGAATTAACTTTTATTTTTTGAAAAAAATGATACCCTAAACATAATAGCTCGTGGGACGATTGGGATGAGGAAGAATCTCAACCGACAAATTGTCTTTTCTGCGATACTATATCTCCAAGTTCTAAAGATGTGAAGAATCATATGAAATGTACACACGGCTTTGATTTATTAATGATTAAACGAAACCTTGGTACTATTTTATACAACGAATATTATTTTGAATGTGCAATATATTTTATTATTAAGATTATTAACATTATTATTATGGAACTTATTTTAATAGGATTAGACTTTTATCAAACAATCATTCTAATCAACTATATAAGATCCAAAACGTTAAATAACACATGTATGGCGTGCGATTCAACATTTGATGATAATCAGCACTTGATTGAACATATGTGTGAAGATAATTGTTTTGTCAAAGTTCCATCATTGGATAATCTTATATGGAAAGATTTAAAGTAAATTATTCATTTCTCAAAAATACTGTACGCTTAATTATATAATAATTTTACTTTTATGTTAGGTATCTATATCCAACACAACCTAATGATCCACTATTAGATGGATTTGAAGATGGTGAAATTAGCTATGATAATGTAATTGATGATAATGATGATGTACCATTACATAATCCAGATGATACCATCGTGATACCCGAAGAACCACCTGAAGAATTGAAAGAAGGTATTAAAAAATTAATGGAATTGAATAACAATAATGGGTCTAATTTAGTAGATATTAAAGATTATGTATATAATGATGTAAATATTTGAATAATTTTAATAATTCACATTTAAATTGATTGAAGTGAATCGATATGGTTGTATTTTTTATCTACGTTTCAAACAAATATAGTCTTAAATAAGATTGGATTTACACTATTGCATTTTTGTCTATTTTTACTGTATATCCAGTGAAACCTCTAGCCTTCTAGTGAAATTTTCCATATAGCAGCAGGGATGTGAATAGACATAGGGTGCTCTCAAGCAACTCCCTCAATGTGATCTGATAGTGATTGAGATGATGCTCAATTATTACAATTGATCGT